ACGATCTGAACAGATGGTTGGAATTCCTTTAGCCATCATGTCAAAAGTGAACCATTGACCATGTGATTTAGATTTGTCATCTCATGGTATTTTATTTTTAATTTTTTCTACAATTCATATGAATATAAAATTTGGTATGTGTCATCATTGGGCTCAGCAAAAAAATAAAAATAAAAAAATATTTGTTTAAAACAATAACTAAAATACCCTTAAAACTTTTATGGGTATTTTGGTTATTTTATTTTATTGGTAATAGTTTTTTATATTTTATACAAGTGTGAGTTTAAGAGGAGTGGATGCCCCAAATTTGGTGACAATGTTGTTTCAAAATAATTAAAACTAAAAATATATATAAATGTGTTATTGAGATTGGGGCTATCTCAGCCATCCATTTAGATCAGGTGACTGGGAGTTGAGAGATGTAAAAAAATATATTTGGGAGGGGAAGTATAGTAAGTTTTCCCAAAAAAAAATAACAAGGAAAGTTTTTAGGAGATATCAACTAGAAACATTAACAGAGTTATGATTCTTCATGAAGCTTTTGGTCTCCAAGCAGTCAAGAGAAACACTTAGGGCCATGCTTTGTGTCTGATAAATGGCTTGATAAACAAAAAGACCACTCAAAGAGCTTGTTCTTTTTCTTCTCTCTCCAAATTGAATTTTTCCAAGTATATATGTGGAGTCCTTTACTTGGACAAGATAAATTCCTTCTTATGCATATCTTACCATGCTTACTTTTTATCTCTAAAATTGTACCCAAAGACTTCCCCTGAATTGGCTAAAGAGCTGAAGCACCCTTTCCAACCCAAAAAGTGAAATTGTTAAATATTGGCATGAGATATGGTAATGGTATGTCCTAAAAAGTAAATGATATAAGTATTGAAAAATATTTGATACTTGCCGGTAAAGAGAAGGTTACTCAAATCTAACATCCACCATTCATAGTTATCCAAAGACGGCTGATGATCTATGCCCTCTTTATGACCATCCTATTTTTTGGCTGGACAATATGCTGAATAGATTGATATGCGTATTGACAAATTCGGAATTAATATGAAGAACCAGTAGCTGTCTTTTACAATAAAATTTCAGTATTAATTGTTTACATCAGTCCACTATCTTAGATTTAAGATATGGTGACCATCACAAATAAATGTTTCGGTCACATTTTAATCGGGCATTTTATATGAATGTGCTTTCCCATATAGTTTTTAATAAACTAATTAAAAATGGGATTGTATATAATGAGACCACTTACCTTTGGTACTGGGAGGTCAGAATTACTTACAACCATTTGATGTGAAGTTTGATAGCTTGAGTGTGTCGTAAAGTTTGAGAAAATTTCTTTTGAACTTTAAGCTTGGTTAATAATATAAATGCAGTCACCCAATTTCACATCTAATAGTCTAGATTAATTGTGACTACCTTATACCAAAGGTAAATTGTCTCATTGTATATTTTCCCATTAAAAATCAATAATACCACTAGGTTATAAATGAGAATGGGTTCTAGGCAAAAGTAATGTGCATGCCAGTTATGTCTGGAGTTTCATTCTTACTTGGTCTCGAGTTAATATTAAAAAAAAGGAGCAGCATTCTCTAAATGATCAATAACATGTTTATTCTCAAAAAAGGAAAAAAGTAACTGACAAAATATTTATTGATATTTTGATATTTTTTATTCTTGATTGGTTTTTGGAAACTATCTCAGAAATGGAATTCCAATCGAACGATTACTTTTCAATATTATCGAAACGATTTATTTTGAAGGTCCCCCTAAAGGAAAAAATTTATACGAGGCGTGAACCTCATACAAGGCATACCTCAAAAACCCATTGGAAAAGATTGTTCTGAGGTTAGGAACCCCTCAAATTGATCATCTCAATTTGTAATTTATGGATATGGAAAAAAAAAAAGATTTCAAGTCATGAAAATAATACAACTTATAACGTATTATCTTAAAACCATTCATTTTATAAAAAAATTATTATTTATAGATTTGCTAGATTTATCTTATTTTTTTAGCTCTAAAATTCATAATTATGAGTGACAATAGATTTTCATGCCATCGCATAACGTTTTCACATTGAAACTATCTGCACCTTACTTAAATAGTGTGAGGTTCACACCCCATACACACCTCACCCTTAACGAATAACTAACCGTCCAAAGAAAATGTATTAACGAACAATTAAGATGGTGAAATTATGTATGGAACAAAGCTTCAGTTCTTTATACACCAATTAAATCAAATTTATAGAGAGAAAAGCGTAACCAAGGGGTCTCTAACTCCGACATAGCAGTTACAAAGTATTAATTTTTGATAATTTATGTTGAGATCGGTGTTCTAAAATTTCTTAATATCCAATTTATATGGGAATCAGTCGGGACTTCATCGATTTTAGAATGGTAAAGGTCCAACCTGATTTCATCTTAAAACTCGTTTATATATACTTTTTCTTTAAATTTATACTTATATAATGTTTTTAAGTCCCTTCTACATCCCTGCTCGATAAACCCTAACTTTAATTATATTTTGTTTTATGTACTTCTTAATATTTTTTGGATCCTTGTTTTAGTCCGATCAAAACTTAATTTGAATAGTTGATCTAATGATCCAAGTCAAGTAGTGGATAAACAATTGGAAAATTGTTTCATGCGAGCTGGACCGCATTTCTACATATGCGGTTCAAAAAAATATAAAACATCCATCTTAAAAATAGATACAAGTAGGTGTTTTATATAAAAACAATAGAAACTAACGGTCCAAATGTTTTTTTTAATAGAATTATTATTTTTATTTTTAAAATTTATTTATTCATTCATATTCATGATCTCCATGTCAGAGATTACATATCCCAAAAAATTAAGTCTTGAAAATCCATCTTAAAAATTTATTTATTTAGAGACCCACATTTCTACATACGCGTGCTTGGCCGCATAGAAACCGCATCCTTTTATTGTTTTTATTTCTTAATATTTTTTGGATAGCTGGATTAAAAAATACCTACTATTGTGGAATATTCATATGGGTACCCTTTAAGATTTTACATATTTTTTCTATTTCTCTAAGTACACGTTCACCATCTGCTTTTTTATTCAACACGCATCCACTGTAGTGTACGATTGGATTATGGTACTTTCTTTCGAAGCACATAAATCGAAATTGCATACCTAATTTAAATCCCAAGTCAGGTAGTGGATAAACAGTTCGCCACCGATCCGGTTTTGAAACGGTAAAAGACCTTCCGCTTGCGCAGTGGGTGGAAAGCAAAAACACGAGTGAAAATAAAGGACTGTTTCGCTAGAAAGCATGAATCACGAAATCTAACAGTTACAGAGGAAAACACAAATGCTTGGTGATGGATCCTCCAAGCTGTTGCAGATTAACGTCATGGACTTTGGTTGCAGCTATGTTACAGATCAGTGGTCTCTTTCTCTTCATTTTAGGGTTTTTCCCAGTCAAGCCTGCACTCACTGGTGTAAGGTAAAAAGTTTTTTTTTTTGGGTGGCATTTCTCCATTCAGTTCGATTTCATGGTTTCTTGAATATTACTTTTGTGAGTTTCCTTTCACAGTGGACCTGAGAGTTACATGCCAGTCTTTGATGGAGCTGAAAGCCATGAGACTGAGAGGTTGCCTCCTGATCAGTTGAGGTCCTTGTATCAGGTGGGACTTGTGAGCTTTCATGGAGTTAATGGCTTCGAATTTTCTGAGATTTCGGGTTCTGGATGTTGGATAGATTCCTAAGCATGTCTAAACAAGTGCAGATAATTGTTCCAAAGTTCATTAAAATAGGTGAAAGACCAAAGAGAATACCCTAAACTTCACAAACATATATGTATTCATGGAAAAATTGAAAGTTTGCAAGGTACAATCCATATTCCCATTCTGTGATAATCTACTCTGATCCCAACCAAGTTAAATATGGGAAAAAAAAAATCTTGTAAGTTGTAATTTCTGGATGGTAAACCTAAATGACCCATTTCATTAATTTTTGTGTCCAATTGCTTTATTGTTCAACTGTAATTGAGCTTCTAGCCAATACAAATGTCTGTTACTGTACAATATACAATGCTGGCCGATATTTTGTCAACTAATACACACCGTTACATGTGGAGGCTAAGATTGTGGGAACATTCTTGACATACGGCTACATTTACAGTCATATGGAGCATTTTGTTAAGTATGATATCACGATCAGTGATCAACAACACCATGTGATTTAAATTGTTTTTGGTATTGGTTCAGTGAATAGTCCTGTAAAATTCAAAGATTTTTAATTTATGCCAGATCCCCAAAAAGTTCTTGCAGCTATGGTCAAAGCATATGCATGGATGACCTACGCTCAAGCTTCATAGTTTTGTGCATGGTTTTCAACAAGGTGGTCTGGTCTTCAACACTTTATTTAATGTATTCTGAATCTTTTTTCCCTTTTTGGGTAAATAGTGGTGGAAGTGGAGCCCTTGACTCTACAGGTCTAGCATTCTCTATGCTTTCCTGGCAAGATGGAGGATTTGCAGAGGAATACTATGTGCTCTTATTCAAAATCCTAGGGATTCTTATTAACTATGATAAGTAAACAATCAGGCCTTTCTTGCATCTGTGCATCTGAATGACTAGAAAATGCCCTTGACCATGTAAAAGAGATAAAAATATAAAAGGAATACGAACCTTTTTGCATTTTAAAAATGAAGTGCCTTGTTATTGACCTGAAACGGAAAAGCAATGAGGCATTGCAGTGTATTTGACATTGCAAGGCTGTTGTTTATTTGACATTGCAAAGTATTTTCATTTGTCCATACATGTCTTTTGATTTCTCTGTTGAAATGTGATTCAATGTTAATTATATCCTTCTCCAACAGGAAACTTCAGGAGTAACCCCTCTCTTTGATCGACTAATATTAATGGTAAAGTGAGTCATTGATGCCGATGGCTTTGTTAAGAATTTAAGCTTACTTTACTACTTATATGTTGTTTTCACATGCTTGCATTTTATGCTGAGAACTTAGAAGATATTTGTTGTTACAATCATGTGATCTGGGTTTGTTGATTTAGGTTGTTGATGGGTTGCCAGCTGAATTTGTGTTGGGGAAAGATGGATCCCATCCATCTGAGGCCCTGATGAATGCCATGCCATACACTCAATCCCTGTTGTTGAATGGAAAGGCAGTTGGCTATCATGCAAGAGCAGCTCCACCAACTGTTACCATGCCCAGATTGAAGGTTACAAGATGTTTCCATTTGGTTGCAGTTTTGTGGAGTAGATTGCTTAGAATTGCTGGTTTTATGAACTTTTATTAGCCTGATAAGTTTTCTGATGATTTTTTGCAGGCAATGATATCTGGGGCCATTGCAGGTTTTTTGGATGTGGCATTCAATTTCAATACACAAGCGCTGTTAGATGACAATCTTCTCGGTTTGTTGTTTCTTTGTGGAGTTTTTTATGTTGTCTAGAAATGTAATTGCATATAACACAACAATGTTTGGATGAATCCATCCCAATCCTAATTCTCATGATTATGTGCAGGACAATTGCATGATATAGGCTGGAAAATGGTGATGCTTGGTGATGAGACATGGATTAAGCTTTTCCCTGGACTATTCACCCGACAGGATGGGGTTAGCAGTTTTTATGTAAGTTTACAGTATTCTGTGCCAGATACCACCCCCATATTTTTGATAAAATTTCATGGATAACTAGTACTTGGCGATCTTGGTATTGGTTGGAATAAGTTCTATAAGAAATAAGGGTATGTTCTCACACTAAGCAATATTTTCTGTTGGAGTCTTGAAATCAATGTTTAGAAAAACGGATTGGTGACTTGGATCGGCCATCCCAAAAACCGTGTCTGATCGGTGGATTTGCGATTTGGATCGGAGAATCGGCCGGATCAGCAAGAGTCAACATTAAAAAATTTCAAAAAATCACTTGAATTGCTTGAAAATCTAGTTTTTTAGGTTTCCAAAAAAAAAAATGGTATTGCATTCTAATTTTTCATTATTTTACTACAAATACATAAATACTGAGAGCATGTCTCATGTCTGAGTGCACAAAGCCAAAATATTTATTGAAGTATTAGGAAAAAAAAAGTATTAAGGTATTTCTTCTCAAAACATTCTTTGAACAATTAATCGTTGGGAATTTTAGGAAAAAAAATCATATGAGATTTCTATTTTTAACATATTATATGTGGTTCACATAGGCCTTTTTTCTTTCCTTTTTTCACTAAATCAAATGCGTTAGAGTGTGGTTTAACTATGAGATTTTCTTATGACCGTGATTTACATGTGGTTTAAATATGAGATTTCTATGAGCGTGGTTTACATGTGGTTTAAATATGAGATTTCTATGAGCGTGGTTTAAATATCAGCATGGTTTAAATTTGAGCCAAGAAGTGGCAAAAGAGGCGAAGAAAAATAGTCCCACGTCGGGACTTTGAGGACGAATACATCTCCTTAAAAGTTACATCCCCCATTTTGATAGTCAAAACAGGTCAAGCATGGACATGCGCTACACGAGGCACATTGGGCCTGATGGGTGGGGCCAGTGGGGGAGGTAAGCCCAACGCATGCAGGTGGTGCAGCCACATGAGCATAAAAATCAGTGGGCCAACAGGCCTATTTTTTATTCCAAAAATTTTGAGAATTGCAAATCAATAAAATTGGAAAACAAAATGTGGAAAAGCACTGGTTCCTCAGGAACTGTCAAGGAGCGGCCCGAACCGGCAGGTTCTAGGGGGACTCAGCCGGATCGTGATATATTACTGGATCTGGATCGTCCAGGGTGACTTCCAATACAGATCGAGTGATTCCAATCTGGATTGGCAATTCTTTAAACACTGTTTGAAATATTGACCATGGTGCTTGGGAATTTCTTAGTGGCACTTGAAATTGATTCTTACAAGATACATTTAGGTACCAATGAGCAAAGCCTTGAAGAAATTAAGAAGCTACTAAATAAGGTTCTGTCAACGCCTTAGGCTCTCTGTGGACATGATATATTGCCTTTGTAAGATGCTGCATGAACTCTCAGGTTTCATTCACACATTGCTGAAATGCCATGGATTAGGCGAAATGCCACATAGCCATTTGATAACATTCTCACAATATGCATGAATAATTCTTTGCTTAGAGAAAAAGACTTTCATGCTATCGTAATAATCATGGTTCCAAGATCCACTGAAACATAGCTACATTGTACTCGGGGACCTGCCGCATAGCCATTAGATATGACTAGGATAGTGTGGGTGATGCTTCTTGAGGGCTCTTTATACTCAATGGGAGTAGTTTTTTTCGGAACCGGAGGCATGGGTGGGGTAGGTGTTGATAGGAGATGGCTTTATAGGATTTTCATTACTTTTTTGAGGCCAGTGTTTGTGCATCCACTGAGGCTGAGGGTTGAGCTCTTTGACAAGCCCCTGATGGATTCCCCTGTTTTATCTTGGGGTCCCTTGATAATGGAAGGAGATTTGCTTAATTTCAAGATGTAGGCTTCGAGAGAAATGGGATAACCCCGTAGATTATTAAATTAGTAATGTTATTAGGGTACATTTTCAGGAGAGGGGAGGGTCTATATACTTTCGTCATTTGAAATGTTGTTCTATATCCTTTGGTCTTGTGCTCAAAGGAGCTAAATGCGAAGTGGGTTTCCTCCAGAGGGATTGTGAAGGGATCACTCTCTAATGGGGGCTCTTTTACCCTGTATAACATGTCTCATTATGCACCACTAGTTGCATTCTTATTTGCTGCATTTATTTTTTATTTAATAGACTTAATTTGACCCAAGTTAATTTTCCTAAAAATGTTTCTATCTTGGTAGGTAAAAGATACAGTAGAAGTGGATTATAATGTCTCACGTCATCTGGAAGGTGAACTTGCAGCCACAGATTGGGATCTATTGGTATTCTCTTTGAGTTTTGATGGAATGCATATTTTTCTTGTCATGGTCTAAAATGGTCAAATTTCTTATTGTTTTAGGTTGACGATCAGAGCCATTTGCGCCAGTTTCTACCAATGTATAAATTAGATTCCAATAGTTTGACCAAAAAGGAAAAAATAATGAATGGTTCGCATCCTATTCCTTTGATTTAGATTGTTGTCTTGTCCTTTGGCCAGAAAGATAAGGGTTAAGACCTTTTTTGTCCCCTTTTTTTTTGCTGTGTGTGTGCAAATATTAACATAATAATTTTGTTTGTATGTATAGATCCACCTCTTAGTGCATGGACTGGTACTTTTCTTTCATCTTGTTTTCTACCTTAGACTGGATTTACTTGTCTTGTTTCTATGGTTACACTACTGTTGAATCGAGTTGTAAACACTAAAAAATGAATAATGCAAGACCAAATGGACCAAGTTGTAAACACTAAAAAATGAATCTTGCAAGACCAAATGGACCAAGTTAATTCAACTTAAATTAAGCATTGAACTGACTCGATAGCCGTGGGAGCTAGTCTTGATGACTTGGATTGGACATAATCTCTCATTTTGGTACTTCCCATTTGAGACTTGAACGGATCTGTACTGGTACAAAGCCTTAAAGCTGTAGCAATGTGCTTCTCTGGGGGAAGAGCCTAGATATATGGTAGAATATTATCATGATCAGACCAGATTGTCTGTTTGACTAGTTGAACTGCCAACTAATCCCTTGGCTGTAGGGCTGGCAATGGGCCTAGCGGCCTGGCCCAGTCAGCCCAGCCCTGAAAAACTAGGGCCTGGGCCACAAAATGTGGTCTGAGGACTGGGCGAGGGCTGGGCCTGGGCCAGGGACACGACAAGGCCGGCTTGGCCCAACCCTTTTTCTCATTTTTTTCCAATTTTTCTATTAGGTCTATTAAGTTCAGCATGGGCTAGGCCTCTTTGGCCCGGGGCAGGCAAGCTTAGGCCGGGCCTAGAGGGACCAGGGCCGGGCAAGGGCAAGGGCAAGCCTGGCTGTTGTGAGCTCTACTTGGCTGTTCTGATTAGGTCAAACCCAAAATATCATAGAACCGGACAAAATTAGCTGTTGATTGGTCCGACTGGTTTTTGCCTTTGTTTGGCTGGATCTTTCAAGTGTTCTTTTGCCTTTTCTTATTTTCACTTTTCACCCTACTCACCTTCCGTATTGTAATATGATCCGTAAGTTTTAGTCAAAGATTTTTACACATACTAAACTATACAATATCTCTTGTGACCCAATATTTTGAGATTTTTCTGAGTTCTGGCCAAATTCTCCTATTTTAAACCTAAATCATCACCCTCCAGAAACACTGCCTTGTTTCTCTTTCTACTCTGTTTCTTTTTGTAACCTATTTTTTTCACTTCTCTTGTGTAATTTGGCCCATTTTTCCCTCTCTTCTTGCTTTTTTCCATCCTTCCCTTTGGCACATAATGTGTTACATTAAGGTTCTTAATCTGCTACTTTTGAGCTCAAAAATCATGATGTATTAGATTGGTAGTAGTATCCACCACTTTTGAAACGCAAAATCTGTGATCTCCAAAGTCGCAAAATCCAAACTCTAGTTTCCTCTCTCGCTTTTATTTTTTTTTGGTAGATTTGTATCGTGTTTTTCCTTCTTTACTAGTTTTTAATTTATTATCTGATTTTTATGTATACATACTCCTTAGAAAATGCCTGATTGCTTTGACTGGTTTCAGCCGGACGAGCCCCGTCACCGGTTCATTGTCTGGTCCGGTCCTGATAAAATTAGTACCCTGATATCTTCTGCTTCAACACCATATTCTCCTTCCAAGTTATAGGTATTCAGATGACTGGTTACTTTTTTAATACTGATTACTTTCATCATCTTCCAAGCTTCTTATTTGTTACACCGGGATGTGGAGGTGACCATGGAGCAACTAGTACATTACTCGTCTTCCTGTCTTATTGGAGCTGCATGCCTGACTTGTTTAAAATTTGTTGAGTGGTTTCATTTACATGCATTGTTTCTTCTGTTATGTGTTGGCTTCACCCAGTCTCGCTGATTTACCCCAAAAAAACATGTATCCACTTGTTGTGTCTTGGGGCATTCTATAGTAATAACATTTTTCTCAGAGATGTTGCTACCTACTGTGGTTCAGGCAGTAAGAGTATGATGTGTTGATTTCATGGGCTATTGTCATCAAGAATTTCAGCAGTATCAGACTTGTAGATCTCTACCATGGCGGGCTTACTATAGTGTGAGGGAGTCTGTAAGAGTGAATAAACCATTGTCTTGGACTCTTGATGCACACCTTCCCTGGAGGATGTGTGCAAGTTTAACTTTAATTGCATGTCCTTTGGGCATCCAGGCATGTCAAGGGTAGGTGCATTTTGAAGGAGCGGAGGGCTGCAGTTCTTTCTCCAGGTCTGTAGAGGGGTGTGTGACTCATCTGAGTGGGAAAGCTCTTGCTCTTCTTATAGGCTTCAAGATTTTTCCTCAAGTGTCCTCTGCCATTTCATGGTTAAGAAAGATTATTTTGTGGGAGATAATTTAGGTGTATTTTATAAATTTCCCTTATCTTATTGTCATTAGTTTGAGGGGATGGACACTTCATGCCTGTGGAGCTTGGTGGAAATTTTGGATTAGACTGCAACCATCATAGATAACAGATCTACTTCCTTTCATCACATGCTCCATGAGGCCAACTTGGTACCCACAAGAGAGTGATGAGGGATTCCTTAGTACAAATTGTGCCTGTTGCTGCGAGGATCCTGAACTCCTATCTTGCCCCCCATCTCTCCCTTACTAATCCATATTTTTGCCTTCTCCCTCCCCTTTTCTTGCTACGTATTCATCCCAACCACTTTTGCTTTTCATCTTCCTTTTACCCTCCCTTTACTTCATTGTGCTTTGTTTTGTACTTCTGTGTTTTGGAGTCGTATACAGCCTCTCTGTCGGCACTTTGTTCAACTTGTTTACTGATCTATTTTATCCAATGGTTTAAAAAACGGATCGGTGACCCGGATCGGGCACCCAAAAAATCGATCCGGATCGGCGAATCGGCGATCCTGATCGGGAATCGGGTGAATCGGTCAGAATAAAGCTTAAAAAAAATCCGAAAAAATTATTAAAATTCATTATAAATATTATTTTTTAGGAATTCAATAAGAAATGAGGGTACTCCATTAAGAATTTTCATGTTTTTGAATGAATATGCGAATATTGATATGTTCTTTCCCTGCATGAACCGCCATTCAGCATTTAATTTAAACCACAGAAAAGGATAAACATAGAATTATCATGGAATAAGTATATCAACATACATGGACTACAATAAAACATAAAATTAGTAACATATGATCTAAAAATAAAATGATATACGACGTTATTGTTCTTCTTGGTCACGCTGGTGCCATAGATTGAATTCGTTTAACAATTCATTGATTCGATCTAAAAACGAATCATCGATGTTAGCAGGCGTCTGACTATTCCCAAATCCCTGAGTGTTAGTGTTTTGTTGTGTTCCCAATCTAAAATCCCCGAAGCTTGTCCATCCTTCATGCTCACCTGCACTGTCGTGCTCATCCCTACACTGTTGTTGTTGGGACTAGATATGTGAATAATATGGCTGGGATAGGGTGGCCTCAAAATCATCATCTATCTCATTTTCTCTTTGAATAATATGGATTAAAAAAAAAAATTAACAAATTTTCAAAAAAATCGTTCATGAATTAAAAAAAAAAATCACAAATTTTCAAAAAATTCTATCATGGATTACAAAAAAAAATTCGATCATGGATTAAAAAAAACAAATCACAAATTTTCAAAAAATTCTATCATGGATTACAAAAAAAAATTCGATCATGGATTAAAAAAAAAAATCACAAAGTTTCAAAAAATTCAATCATGGATTACAAAAAATTCCATCATGGATTACAAAAAATTCGATCATGTATTACAAAAAATTAGATCATGGATTACATAAAATTCGATCATGGATTACATAAAATTCGATCATGGATTACAAAAAAAAAAAACATAAAAAACAAAAATTCCATCGTGGATTAGTAAAAAGAAAAAACAATTCGATCATGGATTACAAAAAATTCAATCATGGATTGCAAAAAATTCTATCATGGGTTACAAAAAAAACAAAAAACAAAAAATTCGATCATAGATTACAAGAAAAAAAACAAACATTTCAATAATGGATTACAAAAAATCCGATCATGGATTACAAAAAATTCTATCATGGATTAAAAATTCGATCGTGGATTACAAAAAATTCGATCATGGATTACATAAAATTCGATCATGGATTACAAAAAAACAAAAAATTCGATCGTGGATTACAAAAAAAGAAAAAAACAATTTGATCATGGATTACAAAAAATTCAATCATGGATTACAAAAAACTCTATCATGGGTTACAAAAAAAAAAAAACATTTTGATCATGGATTACAAAAAAAAAGCAAACATTTCGATCATGGATTACAAAACATTCGATCATCGATTACAAAAAATTCTATCATGGGTTACAAAAAAAAAAAAAAACAAAAAATTACGATCATGGATTACAAAAAATTCTATCATGGATTACAAAAAAACAAAAAATTCGATTATGGATTCAAAAAAAAAAAAACAAATTCGATCATGGATTACAAAAAAGTTGATCAAGTATTACAAAAAATACTATCATGGATTCAAAAAAAAAAAAACTTACTGTACGGGACTCGCCGATTCCGTACAATGAATCGACGAGTCACTGTGCAGAAT